CAGTCTTCGGACGGTTCTGTCGGTTTGACTGCCAACGGCACCGTTACCGCAGCAGGGAGCCGGCCGGGTCATCCCCCGGGGACTTGCAGCCCCTCGGCGCTTGCACTGCCGCAAGTGAGGATGGTATTCGCAGCCAGCTCTCAGCCCGCGCCGCCTGGAGACGTGCGGAGGGTCCCGGAGGAGGTGTCGCTGGGGACCCGGCGATGTCCCCGCAGCGAGGCGAAGCCCCTCGGGAGCAGCCCCTGGAGCAGCCGCAGCCCGTGGTCCTGAGCACTCACAGTCCCGCCGCTCTCAAAGTGGGCACGCAGCAGATCATCCCCAGGAGTTTGGCTTCCGAGATAAAGGTGGCGAGCAAAGCCAGCAGCCAGACCGTGGAGGCCAGTAAGAGGGTGCTGAAGGCGCGCAGCATGGTGGAGAGCCTCGGAGTGCCTTTGGTGGCCGACGCTGAGGAGGAGGCCGAGGGCGACCTGGACAGCCCAGGGGCCCTGAGGCGAGGCCTGAGGTCGACATCTTACCGCAGAGCCGTGGTGAGCGGCGTGGACTTCGACAGCCTCTCCAACTTTAAGAAGAAAAACAGAATGTCCCAGCCGGTACTTAAAGCGGTAGTTGAAGATAAAGAGAAATTTTCGAGCCTGGGGAGGATAAAGGTAAGCCGTGCTGATCGGTGACACTGATCTGAATGGTGTAGGCTACACAGGGGCGTGATTTGTAACCTCCGTGTTCTCCGTAAATGCTGGGGTTTGTTTCACTTTGCTTTTTGCTACCACAAAACTTCTACTAGTTGTTAGTGAATCTCACAGATAACTTAAAAGTGTTGTTCTCTAAGTACAGTGGCTTTGAGGACAGGATTGAAGCCTGTGTAGATGGCAGCCTCACGCTTGTGTTTCCAGCTGGATTCCCTGGCACATCCAGGCTTGCTTTCACAACCGAATGGGTGTTTTAAAACTTGCTTTCCAGAAAGTAGTAAACAAGAGGGTGAAAAAAAAAAAAGGGACATTAACTTAACGAAGTCTGCCTGCTAGAGTAGACAGAAAAATTGTTTTCCTCCCTTACCTCTGAGACATTATTTTTAAAGTACTTTTAAAATCAGAATGTTATTTTTGAACTGCTAGACATGACTTCAGATATCTTTTTGTAGCTTAATGCCTGCCAGTAAAAGCAGAATGCATGGTTTTTATTCTTGATTGTAATCCCTTAGAAGTTATATTGCATGTTAATGTGTTAAAATCAGATCATGAAGACTCCCCGGAAATAATCTTTTACTTGAACGTACCGTATCATAGTCTTCTTTTTTAAATATTATTTATTACTTTAAAAAAATTACATTGGCAGATTTTGGCAGTGTTTTGAACTGTGTAATACAGTGCCCGAGCCTAAGGGCTAGTGCTATAGGTATTAAAATAATTACCAGTTTTATGACAGTGTTCAGCCAAATTAAGGATTATGCTTATGGAAGCTACAAGTGTTGAAATGAAATCCATCAAGTTGTGAACTGCTTCTGAGCAGGGAGGTCGTTTATTTTGCTAGTAGAGAAGTTATATTTAAAACAAGAGGAGGTGACATGGTCCTGTCTTTACACATAAAACTTTTGGCTGGTAGTATTTTTTTAAATGTACTTATTAGACCACAGGACTTGTTGCACCAATACAGCTGTTTTGTTTCAGAGGTTTGTTTTGGTCACAAAATGTTAGTTTACAAATTGTGGTTGTTCTTGTAAAGTGTGTGGAAATAGGCAGCCACTCAGTTGTGTATGGGGAAAGCCGAATGACAGTGGAGTGAGTTGCAGGTTCGCTGAATTTCTGCAAAGCTGGTGTGCTGTGCTTTTGAAATACAGGAACAATGAAGCATTTGGAACAAAAGCATATAAACAGTGCACAAGAGAAGGAAAACTGCAGTAGCTTTTCACTTTCTATGATGAAACAATTGTTTTTGTAAATACCTGCCCAGCATCAGAATTTTATAGATCAGGGCCTGTTAATTTGGTGCCTAAATACCAAATAAACCAGAAGTTTTTGTTACTGTGGGTTATTTTTGATTCTTTTAATATATATGTGTTTCTTTTCTGTTAAAATTATCAGAAGAAAATGCTGAAAGGACAAGGCACGTTTGATGGGGAAGGTAAGCCCTTTTCTGTATGGACTTGATAATGTGCTCAATCATAAGAAAAATGAACTTCGGGATCATTTTGCATACTTCTTTTGTACATAGTCAAAGACTAAATACCTTGTTTTTCAGTAACTGACTGGAATATGGAACTGTTATTTTGGCACTAGACGTACTTCAGGGAATATTTTACAGTATATAGAATGGGATGCTAGAAATGGGAGGGTTGTTTGAAGAGCTTTTTTTCCACTTAGAATTCTCTCCCTCCAAAAAAGGCAAACTGTCTGGTTCAGCTCAAACAGTTCTGTACCATTCCACAGGTGAGGCTTGTTCCTCTAGGTGGGACTTGTTCCCCGCGACTCCTTGTGGGGGCAAGACAGAGCATTTGTGGATCACCTTGTGACTTTAGGGTTGTAACTGCAGCAGCTGCCTCATGCAGCTGTTTCCCTTCTCCTTGTAAGGAAAGGGTGCTGCGGGGAATTCTTTGGCTTTGTAATCCTTTTCTTTTCATGCTACCTGGGCTTCAAGGTTAAGTGTCAGAAAAACACTGTCCATGTCTTTGCTTTATGTTACTCACTAATTCTGGGCTTTGCCAGGTTTGCTGCTTTTCCCAATATTTCAACAAGAAGATAGTTCTTTCCTGGCTATGAGTCCATGGAGGGTTCATTATAAAAACTACTACTTTCTTGGCTTTTCTCTGCTTAAGGTCATCTCAGCTGCTTTGCTGCCTTCCTTTCCTTGTTTCCATCTTCAGAACTTTCCACTTTGTTCTGTTTACATCCCACTCTATCTCTACTCTTACTTTCATCTTTTCTCACACTGTCTCCTGAAGATGTGTTCTAGGTTCTCTTCCAATGGCTCCCTTCTGTCTTGGCCAGTTCCCAGCTAATAACTTTCTCTGTAATGCCTCTCAGAATTCAGTTTATGGGTGTATAAACTATATAGACATTCCAAAGAACAAGTACAAAAGGCCAGAGCTTGTGTAGCCCTCAGCCAGGGCTGTATGGGCCAAGCATGTGGGACAGATCCACCCATCCCGGCGTAAGACCTCAGGAGCTGCAGCTCTGTGTGGAGCAGCCAGACCTCGCTTCTTTCCACTTCCTCTGGCAGGGCAAGATTGGATATTGTCCAAAGCCTGGCCCATCCTTAACCTGTCTGTAGGTTATTCTGCTCTTGAATTTCTCTGTCCTTTTCTATCTGCTTTTGAAAAGGGTGTGTGGTGAGGGAGGTTGGGAAATGGAGAGACAATGCTGTGCACTGGTGTTCCTTTGCTGTTGGTGTTACTGAATTAGTGCCAAAGTCTGAGGAGCGTAGTTTGTCTTAAGGTTTGTAGGCCTCATGCTTCTTCAAGCAAGCTTTGAAATTTCTATTTAGTATAGTTCTGACCTCAGTTTTCTGAAATGTGGATTATTTCTTTTTTTTTTTTTTTTTTTATTGAAGTGTGAAGACTTGAATTTAAAGCTGACAGACTAAAAGTTGGAAGGGGTAGAGGACTTAGAATGGTCTTGCAGATTAAAATAGCTAGACCTCCAGATTAGTGACTGCTCACACACTGGTTCCGTTTTCAAATTGCTGGCTAATTATGAAACATTGTACAGCAGACGAAGGAAGAAAAATTGTTTTCTGTTTTTCTTGACAAAGGAAGGACACATCTGTTCGTTAATTCAGTCAGTGTGGATCTTTTCGGTAGCAGTACAGTGATCCATTGTTACTGTACTGCACCATTGTCCATCCTCAGTAAGATGCTATCTTTGTCTCTTGGAGTTTGTGAACAGCACATTGATGTTTTGGGTTCTTCCATTGTTCAAATGTTACAATTTCTGTGAAAGCAGCTAAGGTAACCTTCTAGTCATTAATAACATACTGTTGTTGTTTTCTAGAAAATGCTGTGTTATATCAGAACTATAAAGAAAAAGCTTTGGACATAGATTCTGATGAAGAGTCTGAGCCCCGAGAACAGAAGTTGGATGAAAAGATTGTTTTTCAGTTTAAGCCTCTGAGATCAACATGGAGTCAGCTGTCTGTTGTGAGTATCTGATCGTTCTGTCGCCAGACATGGATGATCTAGGCATGTGTGGAAGCAAGTCTTTTTACTTGCTACTGGAGGTTTTGGCTAAAGTTTCTAATCTCCTTTTCCCTTCCAAAATAAAAGGTGTCTCCAAATTTTTTAATCAACTATCTATCAATAGTTTGCAACTATTGAGATGTTGCTAATCCAAACCTGGAGGTCTCAGTTTAGCTTTTGTTTAGGTTTTATGTAAGGTAATTCCAACAATGTGGAAAATGTGACTGGAGTTCATGATGGTTGTATGTGGAGAGCTGGGGCAAGCTGGTCGTGATTGATTTGCCTGTAGAGTGCTGAGTGGGGAGAGACAGCATTGTAGGGCTGAGGAGAGAAATGCAGGGGTATTTGCTCAGGGTTTTGCCATACCTGCTTAGGGTAAAGGTCCTCCAGAATAGCTTTTTGGCCAATAAACTATGTGTCTAGGTAGATTGCCTACACCTTCAGTTGTCTTCAGCAAATGAAAACACTTAAGATTTTTCAGACCAACTTGGAAAATGAACTTTACAATGTATGTGTGTCAGTTTAGTTATTAAATCTAATGTAAAAGGAGAAAGTGTGTGTCAGATCCAGGGGAGTTGTGCAGAGTGATTTGGACTCCGTGTGCAGGCTTTCACTGCAGTAGTTGTGTGTTTGTATCTTGGGATGATTTTTCAATGAAATTATTTAGTTCTGTCATTTGGTTTATTGAAAGATGTTATTGGCTTGGTTTTTTTTTTTTTAATTTCTGTTGGTTCATAGCTGTCTTTCTGAAGTGGACAGATTGTTTAGCTGAATTCTTAGTGCAGTGTTTTGTTAGTCTTGTATTTTTTTATTTTTAAAACACATTTTTCTATAAAAAGTTACAAATTTTTAATTTATTTGTTAGGTAAAGAAGAATGGGTTATCAGAAGCCATCAGCCAGGAAGAAAGAAAAAGACAGGAGGTACTCATTAAAGTAACAATTCTTTTTTGTTGATGGTTTAGGGATGCACTGCATGCCTAATTTAATACTCTGTTTGTTGATAAGGAGGCAAGTTCATCACACTGCTTCCTGTCCTAGAGTGAAGTCTCTTCTCTCCCCAGGGAGGATAAACAAACAAAGGCTGCCTGTTGCCGCAATGGTGTCCCTGCCGCGGGTCTCGCTTCCTAGGAGTGCTCCAGCAGAGGCAGCCTGGTTCACTTGCTGTTCCCTGCTGAGCTCAGGGAGGTGGGAAGTGAACCTTGGGTTCAGAGGGTAGGAGTGGCACATGCATTTTTAAAAGCTGTGAGGAACAAAGAACAGCTTTTTATAGTGCCCCTTTTTTGTAAGTAAGCCTATGAACAATTCTGGACCTGTGAGCACTGTGGTGTAACTAACCCTGTCCTTTCACGCTGAAATGCAGTGGGTACATCTGTGCTGTCACAGTGCAGACAATGGCAGCAGTTACTGATATAGTTATCTTTTCACTCTGTCTCTTCCCCCTTTGCTCCTTTTGTCTTCTTACCCGCTTTCCTCTGCCTCTTTGCTCCTTTTGTCCACATTACCTGCTCTACCCTCCTTCCTTACTTACAGGGGCTATATCAAAATGAATGAGAGGTGTTGAAACGAATAGCCTGACCTAGCCAGCTCTATACCTGCAGTTCTGGAGGTATGTCCTTCAGTAGGAAGACAAACCAGTGGGTTTTTTATAGAAACACTGCAGCATTACCTGCCCTGGTAATAATCTTCATTTTGGTTTTGGACATACCTCAGTGAATGTGGCCAAGTGAGACCTGACCAGGCCAAGTGAAGGCCACAGATGCTTATAGCAAGCCTCAAATATTAATTTAGCTGCATGACCTAGAGCTGTTGTGTTCATACATGAAATACAGAAAGATTTTGTAATGCATACATGAGATTTAAGAAACAGTTTGTTGGTTTTTTTTATAACACTATTTTTCTTTGGCTATCTTATTTTGTGTTTTTGGGGAAGAGGCTGTGCAGCAGTTCAGGCCACGTGTTCTGCTTTTCTGTCTTCTGCTGGGAAGCTTTGAGACACAAGGCATTTATTTCAGCCATATCCTTTAGGAGCCTTTAGTTTATGTTCCCTGGAGTCATATTTACGCCCCTTCGAAGAGAATAAGATCTTTAGATGACTTTTAAATGTAAAGTCTTCTAATGTTACCAAAAATATTTTCAAGCCTGGGGAGTTTTTTAATTTAAATATTAGAGGCCCGTTCTTTTAGAAGGAGCCTAAATAAATATCCTTAAGATGTAGTTATACTATCAAGTTGTGCTTTTGCTGTAATTCTTTAAAATTGCCTTTTATCAATTATTCTTCATTCTTTAAATTGCTTTTTACAGTCTGTTAGATTATTTTTACCATCATAATATACTGCCACTGCTGAAAAATCCATTAGTTTGCTTTCTGACTTTATTAAATGTCAGTGTCATGCATCTGTGTGCATGCCATCTTTCAGAACTCCCTAATGCAAGGGATCTCTGTGCATCTTTGTCTAAAAAAAATGGGTCATATAGACAGACTGATTTGAGCTAAAGTACTTTTCAGTAGATCTTTTCTTGAAAGCTGGAAACTCTTCACTGTGTATGTGTGCACAGAATGCAGTTTGGGCCTTGGTAACCTGATGTTCTCTCCCTTCGTTACACATTAGAATCATGGAATAGCTTAGGTTGGAAGGGACACCAGAGATCCTCTAATCCAACATCCCTGGCATGGGCAGGGACACCTCTCGACTAGGCTGCTCAAGGCCTCACCCAACCTGGCCTTAAATGCCTCTAGGGCGGGGGCATCTACAGCCTCTGGGCAATCTACTCCAGAGTCTTGACACCATTGTACTGAAGAACTTCCTAACATCGAGTCTAAACCTACTCTGTTTCAGTTTAAAACTATTTCCCCTTGTCCTGTCGCTGGACACTCTTGTGAAACGTGCCTCTCCATCCTTCCTGTAGCTTCCCTTCGCGAGGGCAGTTGTAAGGTCCCCTGGAGCCTTCTCTTCTCCAGGCTGAACAATCCCAGTGCCTTCAGCCTGTCCTCATAGCAGAGATGATCCAGAGAAGCAAAGTATCTTTTTTTGTCCCATTTATTGCTGACTGTGCTAAGGACTTTCTGTTAGCAAACTGGAAGATGTTGATGAGGGTCCTCAGTAAAAGCCTAAACGGGCCCCCTCCAACACAGTAATAGTGAGAGAGCTTGTGTATTTTCCATGTTGAAAAGTGTTATGGTGGAGACCGACTAGCCTTGGAACTCTACAGCAGTCGTTAGGTAAGTCCTTTCTGTGTGGGCGCAGTTGGGGGAAGTACAGCAAGGCTGCAGGCTGGAGGTGTAACTGCTGGGCAAAGGCCAGAGGGCCCTTTCTGGGCACCCTTCTGCACCTTGTTAGCCAAGCGGCGGGTGGATTTGCTGCCGTGGTTCAGCCGACATGTCTGTGCTTTCAGTGTTCCTGAGGCTGACAGTGTTGGCAGGCAATTAAACATTATTTTAAGCATCACCTTTGCTAATCTTCTTGCACAGTCACTCTAGTGCATAACGTCCAGTATGTTGTAGCTGTTCTGAGCTGCTAGTGGATCTCCAGGTACCCTCAGCTTTTTAGGTAGGTGGTAAGGTAGAGAGACTACTGGTATGTGCATTAAACTTCCTTTCCTTGTATGTATAATGGCCCTGTAGGTTTTCTGCTGAGTGCAGTCATGTTTGCACTGCATAAACCTTTAAGGCTTCAGCTAAAGCTGATTGTTTTGTTTCATTCTTAGAAATCCCAAACTTGTTATTTCATGATTAGGATCTCTGCAAAGTTGTATAACCTATGCTGACAGTATTGCTCTGTGTCAGCAGTGCCTGGAAGGTAGCGCTGGTGACATATGGGACTTGGTGGAGCTCCTGACAAAAGGGTTCATGAAAACAACTTTTTTTTTTTTTCCACATATATATATATATATATATGTATACACAAACAAAAACTCCATTAGATTAACAGCAAATAAAGCCCAGAGAAGTAAAAGATGTCTAAAAGCTGAATAGGTTTTTACAAGAGAGATCAAAATTCCCAATGGAACAAGTATGTGGATTTCAAAGTCCAAGAGCCTGTTAAGTTTGCTTTGTATGTCAGCCAGGTGGTGGACGTTACTGTGGCTGGTCTTCCAGCAAAAGAGGGTGATAAGACAGAAGCTGTTTGTGGAAGGCAGGGAACATGCCGGAGGTCTGTGTGTCTGTCACTAACCTTGCTGGTGGGGACAATGCCTGCCACCCCTCCTGTCCACGCTGCCTCCAAGTTCTGACCCTGCCACAGACAGCTCAGCCCCTCTGTTCCTGCTCCCGTGGTATAAGTAACCCAGGAGTCACTGCTGAGATAGGACTAAAACCTGAATTTTTTGAGTTTTGCCTTTCTGAAGATGCTTAGGTATGCAGAGTTCTGTTACCCAGAACACTTTCAGTGACGTAGCAGCTTCTGTTTAAAAAAAGCAAAAGCAAATATGGCTGATCAACAGTAGTACTGCTGATAAGAAGCTTCCAGCTGGACCACAGAAATGTTCAGGCTTTTTGTTTTCTTAAATTAAAAAAAAACTCAACAACAAAAAAACAAAACCCCACCTCTGAAGAGTGTGAGTGGGGAGTGATCACAGTTGCTGTGAAGTTTTTAGTCTTCTCACTGTTTGTAGTTGCATTGGAAGGTCTGAATATAGACTTTTTTTGGTCTTAAATCATGTTTCTAAATTAATGTTGTGACTATCATGAAAAGTGAATATTTAATTAAAATTTCTCACTTACAACCAGTAACTTTTTTTTGTACTCCTCCTCCCTGTTTTCTTTTAAAAAAAAAAAAAAAAAAAGCCTAGTCAATAGTAAGTCTTTTCTTTCCCCACTCCACTTTTCAGGCAATATTTGAAGTGATATCATCTGAGCATTCTTATTTGCTGAGCTTGGAGATTCTGATCCGGATGTTTAAAAATTCCAGGGAATTGAGTCTCACAATGACCAAAACGGAGAGCCACCACCTCTTCTCTAACATCACGGATGTTTATGAAGCAAGCAAAAAGTAAGTGTAGCAATGCACTTCTACTTTTGAAAAAAACTACACCACGACCACCCATTTTTAAATTTATAGATTTATATTTAAAATGTGGAAATCATAAATTGAAATTATTTACAATACATTTTTTAAATTCCACCTGAGGGATGGTTACTGGTGGTCAAAATCTTTCAAGCAAGTAATGAAACATACTATACAAAGTAGCATCTTTAATGTCACAACGAAATGAAGGAACAGCTGCAAGGCAGCAAATTCAGCAAAAATTTCGACCTGACAGTTTTCAGAATGAGATGCCAAATGTTGCACTTGTCAACATCCAGAGTCTTAGTTTTTTATAAGGTGTAAGTAAATTTTACACCTTATAAAGTAGAGTTTGGTTCTGTGTTCTTCAAGAGCACCAAAATATGTGCTCTGCAGTACTAAAGAATAATTTAATTAATACAGAGAACCAAGGTTTTATTTTGCTAACCAGAGATTGTGGTTTTATGATATGAGTAAGGCCCTGTTTATTTCATTTACACCTTCATTGTATACCTCAGAGGCAGCTCCTTCAATGGTAGGGCTTTGGTTATTGCTCTCTATGATACATGAGAGTATTTTCAGTCTCAGGCCACACCTTATGTACACTCTTGTTCTCTGAGGCATCCTGCTCTTATTCGGAAAAACCTTGCACTTATTTGGAAAAACCAAACTTGTCTTGCCCAAGTATTATCTATTTATGAAGTTGGACAGTTGTTTGCTTTTCTAGCTGTCCTCATTGTGTAAGGAGAGCTTACAGGTAGCTGAACTGGAGATGGATGGTTATTCTTTTAATTCCTGTTTGAACAAAAAAGCAAGTTTCTTACTGGAATCTGAAGTAACAGTTTAGAGTGGCAACCATTTCTTCCAAAACTGTCATGCTTGTTCAGAGATGGAAAATACAAATAGTGGACATGCACGTGAGTTTGACAGAGTCATCTTGCCATGATGTGTGAGCTCCCATTTAAGGGGATAGGCTGTTATTGTTTCTCTGAAAATGGAGAGGGAAGGAAAGAGCATGGTGTTTCAGTAGAAGCAGGCATCCTTCCAATCTAAACACTTCCTGAGCTAAGTGTTGGTACACTGAGCATTCATACCTAGTCTTTGCAGTCTATCGGATGAAGCTTACTCTACCCTTATTAAACTGTGAGAAATTGAGCAAGAGTTTCATACGTGCCCTTAAGAATTGGCTCCTGCCAGTGTTGTCCTTAATCAGTGGAATCAGTGTTTGCTTTCTGTGAGTAGGGGACGTGCAGTGCACTCTGTGTGTGGTGGTGTTAATGTAAACAGCACAGGCATTTACTGCTTGGGAACAGTGCTGCACACAGCACCTGGCACCAGAGACTTCCTTCAGTTAAAAAGGTGATCTGCTGTCCTCTTCCCCCCGCTCCCCCAATAAGTTTCTTCAGGACAAAGCCAATAGCAAGAAAAATGAAAGCATAGAAATAGCACCTAATGAAAAGGAGATGTTGGCAGATCTTGCAGGATACAAATGCTGGAAAGTCTCGTTTATGGTTGCTATTGATGGCTGCTAGCGTTTCTCAATGCAAGACATGCATATGTATGTGCACTCACTGTGTGCTTCAGGGGTAGGAACACTTCTAACGAGTTCAAAAAGTCGTTTAATGAGGGTTTGCTATGTTACAATTTGTTAATTTTCCTAGCCTGGTTAGTAACAGTATCAGCAGGTGAATTCCTGTGGTCTGCATAACTGAAAAATAAAAATGTCTGCGCTGCTTTTCTTACACCTTTTTTCCAGTTTTAAGTCAAGCACAGTGGCTAGAGGATGCCCGTGGCCTAGTGGAGGTAGAGGTTGATCTTAACCCTAGAACTGAACAACCTCAGATGCATCTCCCCTCCCCTGTGGAGTAGAACGGCATTAGCCTTGGTTCAG